CAGGCTGCTATCCTCCTGCTGCAGCCAAGCCGCTACCCGAAACCGAACGTGCTGCATTGCGTTATATTCTGGCTTTGGGCTACACAGAAGCAGCTTCTCCCGGGGCTTTTGAAGCCTTCCGTTCCTCTTGGTTAGAAGCCAAGCAGAGGTAGAGGACTCGGGTTAGGGACTCGGGGGATCCGGGGGATTCAACCTTGGCTGAAAAGTGAAATCTCCAGATCCCCGGGCACATTTCACATGTTAGAGGCTCCCCTTGTTTGATTTTTTTTTTTTTTTTTCAAAATGCCTGTCTCCAGGACTGAGCCTTTGAGGTCCTCAGCCAGAAGGAAGCGGTGCCCGGGTGGAGGGCTTTTCCTGTATTTTTCCTCCCAACTGACTAAGCATCCTAAGAGCCGTGGGGGCACAGCGGTTAGAAGGCAGTACTGCAGGCGAACTCGCTGCCCACTCCAGGAGTTCAATTCTGAGCGGCTCAGGGTTGACTCAGCCTTCCATTCTTCCGAGGGGGTAAAACGAGGAGCCAGATTGTTGGGGGCAAGAGACTGACTCTCTAAACCTCTTAGAGCTGTAAAGCACTGTGAAGTGGCATATAAGTCTTAAGTGCTGTTGCCATTTTCCTTCCTTCCCTCCCTCCCTCCTTCTTTCTTCTCTTTTCCTTCCTTCTTTTTTCTTTTATGTACACTGAGAGCATTTGCACCAAGACAAATTCCTTGTGTGTCCAATCACTCTTGGCCAATAAAGAATTCTATTCTATTCTATTCTATTCTATTCTATTCTATTCTAATTCTAATTCTAATTCTAATTCTAATTCTAATTCTAATTCTAATTCTAATTCTAATTCTAATTCTAATTTCTGTTTCTATGTTATCCTATTTTCTATCCTATCCTATCCCTATTCCCATTCCAAACTCAAGGATTGTTGGGGTCTCCAACCATTCTGGCCAGCTCCTGACTGGGAGTGTCTCTCCCATTGTAGAGGCACCAAATTGGGGTGAAATTGGGGTTCAGTGCTAGGAACCTATTAATCTACACCCCCCCTAAATATTTATCCCTCGATGGGTATTATTTGAAGAGCAGGTGGCTGCAAGCAGCTTCGTCTATGTTTGGTCTGTAATTAGGACCTGTTACCAGGTCGAGCATGTATACCAGCGACAGAGGCCCGATTAAACTTTAATTTGTCAGGATTTATTACCGCCGTCCTTTCAATATTATTATTTTTTTGCCCCCCTCCACTGTGCATCCAGATGCTCCACCTTCCCGGCACAATTTGCTTGCCAGGTAATTTTGCCGAATGAATGAGCTTCTGGGGTTTCGTTCTGAGTTTTTTCTTTTTTTTTAAAAAAAAAAATTCCCCTAAAGAAATTCTCATCAGACTTCAGCATGGCGTTTCCTGTTTAGACTTCCTGGTTTGTTTGGGGGAGTTTTTTTGGGGTCAAAAGAAACCTATTACGATGACGATTCTGGGTGCTGGCCAGGGCTTTGGGTCTTGAGGACTAGAATCGGCCTCTGCCCTTCCCCAGCCTCCTCCACAACCTCCAAGGCCACACTTCCACTCCCTGTCGGCGGCTGTTCCTCTCCCTCAGAGTCCAACAAGTGGTAAAAGAAGGCAAAGCTAACATTTCGCCAGGCAACCTAAGCGTTGGGGGCTCCATTATGGACTTAGAAGTAATCTGCTTCCCTCTTGTCCTAAGCCCCCCCCCCCCCCCCCACTGCCCCGTCATCCTGATTTGATCACCGTAATGCATCGCTGCAATATATCGATATATATGCCTTTCTCTCTCTCTTTTTTTTTTTCTTTGAATGGAGGAGGGTTCCTGGCTGTGAGCCAGTCCTGCTTTCCGAAAGGGCACACTGTGAGCATGACGGAGCCGGTGAGAACTGGCCAAGAGTGTGTAATTCAGACTGGTCTGGAAGGGCAAGTTTCTCCACCCCCCCACAAATAAATCACGGAGTATCTTAACATGCGAAGCGCAAGGCTACAGCCATAAGTCATAAAAGGGACCAGTACTTCCGCAGAATTGCGATCCCAAAAGATTGAGACGGGAAAGGAAAAGGGGGATCAGAATTGGTCCCTTTTCAATATGTCTAGAGAACTGGTGCCTTCCTTCCTTCCTTCCTTCCTTCCTTCCTTCCTTCCTTCCTTCCTTCCTTCCTTCCTTCCTTCCTTCCTTCCT